GTTACAGAACCCCACCAAAAACAACACCAGGCCAATTGTACCACACCCACCAGGATAAGAATAGGTACATTCTCTAACATCCAACCGATATTAAATATTGCTATAAAGGACGCACCTCATAATGGAACCAGTAGTCGTCAGCTGCTTTCGCACTGCTTACTTTTATATCAATCACTTCGAGTAAGTCCCATTGAATTTGAACATATACCTAAGATGACTAGAGCTGACCTGCAGGAATGAGCAATCGCATTGTTCTCTGTGGATAAATGGGTTACTAGATACCTAGTACTGTTTCTATTGTGCTTCTTTCAATCTATGTTGTTGTACAGAGTAGTGCCGCTTTTATAAATCAGGAGTAGCCCGAAATTGTGGATAAACATAATTAGATACTGGTGTGTGCGTGCGCGGAGCAGTTGATGATCGAACCTATCGATGAACCCCAGGTTTATTGATGGATGGAATGTTGTTAGTATTGTAGTACTAGTAATTTAACAAAACCTTTCCTGCCTATTCAGCTACTTGGAAGAATATATGAAGAAGCAGCCAAACTTGTAACACATTCAATTTCATTTAAAAAGGGGTACACCAGAAAAAAAAATAATAATAGAAAAATAATTAAGCAATTGCTCGGCTATTCACCGATTTGAAGGTCACAGAAACCATGGAACCAGAGTAGAAGCGACGGCGTCAACCACCTAAGAATAGTGCAAAAGTTGGATGCCGCCACTAAACTGGTAAAGGGCAAGAAGCCTAAGGCTCGGAAGAGAGCAGCTGATGGCCCGTTGTTTCAGATCGGGCCCCTTGACAGCCTATCATCCGGCGCGGCGTGTTTGAGGAGATCCCACACAGTGCACATGTCGGAGGAGCCCATCGTTCGCCCCCCCCTCCGATCGGGCCCAGACAGATACCAAGTCTGTAACGAGACTAGACGGTTTTAGATACCAGCAAAAACCTTAAGGTGAGAGAGCACGGCAACAGTTGTTGCTTTCCTCCCTCTCCGCCACGTTCCCTTCGCCATCTAGTTCCCAAAGGGATCACCAGTTACTATCCATCGCCCTTCTCCGACCCTTGAGCGCTATCCCACCTCATCTCACCTCTCCTTCCCCTCTTATCATCCCTCCGCTAGTGGGAGCGTTATCGCTGATAACCTCCGATCGTGAACCTTCCACAGAGTGCAGTCCAACCTTGGCACGGACGAGAGGATTGATCCTGTGGGGGTTGGTTGCGGTTCACGTTCACGGTACAGTTGCTGTTGTGTTGACCTTGGTACGAACCCATTTTTTGTGTTTGGACCCTCATCTCGTTTTCTTCTATATTTGGAAATCTGTACTCGCTTGATCCTTATCTTCGTCTGTCATCCCCCTTTTAGGAAATTGATGGAGCTAATTTGTGCCTGGAACCCTGCAGGCTGCTCTGTATCATGCATTAGACTATTCTGGACGTCTGCTGGGACTTGACGTTTCCACAACGCCGCACGAGCCAATTCCTCGCCAGTTACACAGGGGCAAAGCATAAGGGGTGACATTTACTTGCAGACGGGATCTATAGGTATCGCCGGACGATTGGGACGACGCTCTACGGTTGCTTCCCCCCTTCAACCATGCTCGCAAAGACTACGTACTCTTCTCCGCTGGGGATCTCCACATCCCAGACACCAACATCTTACCACTCTGGGCCATCCCAGAAAGCAATCTTTACAACGCATCAAGATGGAATGTCATTCACGAGCCCCACGGAGTCGGAGTTCTCGGAAGCACAGGATGGACTTGAGGCAGTCAGGTACGTTGTTCATGTACTGTTGAGAGAAGAGTATTGCAGGAAGCTGACACCACGATAGGTCTTGGGACGAGAAGCAGGTCATAACGTGGTTACATAGCATCAAGTGTGGGCAATATGAATCCTTGTTCAAAGGTAGCTCCTGAATCCCACTTTTGTTACAGTCGCGCGATAAACAGACGCTGACAGCATATAGCGAACAACTTCAATGGCAACAATCTTATCGAGTGTGACCAGAAGATTCTGCAAGAGATGGGTATTAAAAAAGTCGGTGATCGGGTACGCATCTTCGTCGCTATAAAGCAGCTCAGGAACAAATCTGTTGCCAACCGAAAACAAAGGAATATTGTAGGTTACTATATTGCGTGTTAGGAGCTCTTTGCTGATCCGATGTAGGATCAATTGGCCGCTCTCGAGTCAGCATATACACCCGCCTCATCCCAATCCAGTCGTCCCTCAATTGGCCGCCAACCGACTTTGAATAATCGTCGTTTCTCTCATACTGCTGATAATGCCCATGGCTACAAACCATCGTCGCGGCCAGGATCGCCCTTGCGGGCCCAACGTTATGTCGCTAGCCCGATGGAGAGCGCTCGTAAGGAACAAGGGCAAGGCTACTTCGGTCAAAACTCCTCTGGTAGTTCCGGTGCCAGTCGAAACCCACCGACCCCTAACGAGGCGCAGAGGAGTCATTTGAGACAAAACCCTAGCATTGATGGCCTGACAATGGGGTCTCTTCCCCCAAACTCGCCAGTTATTAGAATAATCTATACTGGCGGACAGACCAAAGTATTGAACATCAAACATTGCACGACGGCCGATGAAATCATACAGTGTGTGCTCAAGAAGCTGCAACTTCCTGAGCATCAATATCGGAACTACTGCTTCTATGTGCTCGATGGCCTGGAGCCAAACCCGTCAAACTGCAGGAGGCTGGCGGATCATGAGCTTATGGAAATTTGCGAAAGCAACCAGAAATCTGAGCGTGGCCGCCTAATACTACGGAAGATTCATGCTGGAGAGCCAGCCACGGACGAGCTTCGGCGTGCCTCTCAACTCGCCATTGATGAAAGCCAAGCGACACATATCAACGCCCTGAATAGCTCAAATCCACGTACACAGTTCAAGATTCAACAACTCACCGGTGAGCCATGGCATAATATAAAACAACCGATTTCACCCATGTCTGCTCGACATCAGAATTCGAGTGAGCATGATTTGCAAGTTCTGAATACGGAGCGACACGCCGTATCCAAATTACGATCGTTCTTTGGTGCTCGACCACCTAGCGAGATGATTATTCACGAGATCACATCTTACTTCCCTAGTCACCACCGGGAAGATATTGAGAAGACCATGCGCATGTCAATTCGGAGGTCACAGCGCCTGAGCCGCGCAGCAAGTCGATTGAGTGTCGTTAGCAATACAAGTTACGCATCCAGCTTAAGAGATGCACCTCCTATCCCCAGTATTGCAGATACTTGGCTTAATACTGGTGCTCAACCCACTCGCGCTTCGAGGCCTCTGTCAGTTTCCAAGTTCAGCCTACCTCAAGCAACGTATAGAGATTCTATCGCGTCAAGCCCCCTTCAACCGCTTCAGGAAGAGTCTCCCATTGAGCCAAATCGCAAATCATACGTTTCTTTCGATAGTGGTTCTGACGATCCCAGTACATCTCGTCAGAGCCTCGTGGATGAGAATGCAAGCGTTGCTGCAACTGACGGAGGCTCACTCAATGAACGACTGAGCGTTCTAGTTGCTGAAGATGGTGAAGAGGAAGATGATGGTCTTAATGACTTTCTCGCTGGAAACAACTTCGCACCCAAGAATTGGATGAAAGGCTCTTTGATTGGTGAAGGATCTTTTGGAAGTGTGTTTTTGGCCTTGCATGCGATCACTGGAGAGCTTATGGCGGTCAAGCAAGTTGAGATACCATCGGCAACCAAAGGCACAGAATTCGACAAACGGAAGAACAGCATGGTTACCGCACTTAAACATGAAATTGAACTCCTGCAAGGGCTTCACCACCCAAATATTGTCCAGTATCTCGGTACCGCTGCTGATGACCAGTATTTGAATATCTTCCTGGAATACGTTCCCGGTGGATCTATTGCTACAATGCTCAAGCAATACAACACTTTCCAAGAACCTCTAATCAAGAATTTTGTACGACAGATACTTGCAGGTCTCTCGTACCTGCACAGCCGTGATATTATACATCGCGACATCAAGGGTGCAAACATTCTTGTGGACAACAAAGGTGGTATCAAGATCTCGGATTTCGGTATCTCCAAACGGGTGGAAGCTTCTACAGTCCTTGGCTCTCGGGCCAGCGGCACAGGGGGTGGTCATCTACACCGACCGTCGCTGCAGGGTAGCGTATATTGGATGGCACCAGAAGTTGTTCGACAGACCGCCCACACCAAGAAAGCAGACATTTGGAGCTTAGGATGCCTGGTTGTGGAGATGTTTATAGGCGCTCACCCTTTCCCTGACTGCAGTCAGCTGCAGGCCATTTTCGCTATTGGTAGCAACAAAGCCAGACCACCTGCGCCAGAGCATGCAAGCAAGGATGCTGTTGCATTCCTAGACATGACATTCCAGGTTGACTATGAGCAACGGCCGAGTGCTGACGAGCTTTTGAAGTGTCAGTTCCTCGCCACGCCAATTGCGTGAAACCAGTCCGTCTGTATGTGGAAAGTAAAAAAGAAACAGAAAAAATATTTTGCAGTGTCTGATTGAGATTGAGGAATACCCCAGGCTTATATGCCGCTAAGCACTTTGAGATTTTAAGATCTATGAATTTTTGAATGCTTGTGCTTTATTATCATTCTTTGGTTACTCCACCATTCCCCAGTATCGCAGACTTTCTGGACATTCAATTCTCTGGGTTACCCCAACCAGCCCAGTTATAATTTCATTGTCGACATGATGAAATGATGTTGTATAGAACTGAACATAAAGTGTTCGAAATTCACGAACTTCAACTATTCTATTCTTATATTTTAATTAGCGGGGCTCTGTCCTGGCAGATCTGAGGGATCTTAATGATATACCTATATATGTTCCTTGTTTTTAGAGATATCAAGGACATTCGATCCAGTCCACAAGTGAGGGGGTAGATGTCTAATACTATATCTGGATGGTCAAACGACCACCAAAGCGGATGGGATAATGTGCAATAAAGGTTCTAATGATATAGAGCATATTTTACATGAATTTAACGAGTGAACAAAACTTCCATGTTACATATTCAATGCCAAGAAAACGAAGATGAGAGTACAAATATTCGCTCGGGTGTACATGACTGGCCTTTGTCAAGCCTTCCTTGATTAAATCTTGCAGATTTCCCCAGTAATGGTATCGTTGCGGCTCCTTTAGTCAACCATCTTTCCGTAGAAAGGGATACCCATGGCACTGAGGAGAAGCCGGGCATCCTTGTCCGTCTTGGCTGAGGTGTGGATGGTAATATGGGCACCGGGAATCATCTTCGGAGGATACCTAAAGGTCGAACGTACGTTAGCCAAATGTCATACGCGGTCTCTTCCCGGTACTGGCGTGGTAGTAAGACTCACATATCATAGTTCACCTCGATCTCAGGGAACAGAGCCACGTTCTCAGGCTCAAGACCAAAGGTGATGTTTCCACTGCTGTCACCACTGCTACCCTTGACACCCTCCCAGTCCTTGATCCTGGGCATAACAACATCAACCAACTTTCCAAAGAAGTGCAACATATCTTCACCACGAAGCTCTGCTTTGACAGCAACGGTATCTCTGCCTGGTGCAATACTCCAGGTGGCCACACTGGTCTTCGATTTGAAGGTTTCCACTCTAGCGTTGGAGATAGCCTGAACAGCCATTCCTGCAACATGCAACCATGACGAATTCTCCTGGGCTGCTTGCTTGACGTAGCTGTGAATGGTGATGCGTTCTAGCTGGGGGACATTGTTGAAATTGATCGGCTTCCGGAGAAGACGGAGGACATCACCTCCTCGGGGTCCACGGAGCGGCCTATTCTTGTGGTATGGAGAGCTATCATCCCATGAGCGAAGACGGGGGGCCTTTTGTGGTGGTTTGAAACCCGGGGGGTTGTGAACATAGCAGAGGGTGAGGATGTCGGACGCGACGGTGGACTGGTATGTTTGCTCTACTCGGGGAAGAGAGAAGGGGCCCGGAACGTAGAGTCGGGAAGAGGGATCGGATGGCGGAGGGGGCTGGTGAGGGTGTAGAGGACCACGATCATATTTGGGAGAACGAAATTGATAACTGGAAGTTATTGGTTAGAGACGAACGTTGACCGGGGGTTTTTGATCCGGATCGCAAGATGCTCGAGGGAAACTCACCGACTGCGTGGCAGTTGCTTCTTCCGTGCCTTGGTCCTTGCAATTGGATCGAATGACTTCACAGTAGCCTCAGAAAGCGTTGTCGAAGTCAGAGAAGTCGCCGATTCAAGTTCATTGAGGTCGGCCGGCGCGGCCTTCGACGAGGCTTGGTCGGAGACATTGCGCCGCAAGCAGAAGCCCTGTGGGCGAGCGGTGGGGACAAATGCCCGTGGCAATGACCTTGCCAGGTATCTTGGAGGCTCACTAGCAGCCATTGTGGTCTACACGGGACGTTGTCGCTGTAGACTAGTTCAAGGCCGGGCATCCCAAAAATTGTTTTCCGGGTCGGAGACACATCGACTTCGGGGCATGATCACGTGAATACGATAAGGCTGCCTGAAGGGCCTGGCGGCAATGTCAGGCAACGAGCAAAAGCTCCGCAGACAGAAAGGCGGGAGGATCCACATGTGATCAGCTTCAATCAATCATCCCCGCGCCAAATCCAGCAAGCTAGGCATCCATAACTTTAGATCGCTGCCGATCCGGTGCCAAAGTCATGAGTTATTGACTTTAGGGCTTCGCAGCACTTTTGCTTCCCTAGACTGACCGCTGTCGCCCGCTGGATCTGGCGCTCTACTCAAATTGCTCTCGTGTCACACATGTGATGTCACTGGACGATTTCAGCTGAAGCCTAGTATACGCAATTTCCTCGACTCACATTAGATCTCAGCTATCAGAAGAACTAGACACATGATATGTCTAGTAACCGTACTAAGAATTGCTCTCACACGCTTCATGGAAATATTGGAGCCTGAATTAATACTTTCCTCATGTCGACATATATCTAACCCTCATTCCGCCACACCTGTCTCCTGCTCTGAACCCTAATCAGCAAAAGCCACATTACAGCGTACAAAATGAGCGGCATTCACAGGTTTCTCACTAGGCGCGAGCGAAATAGCAGAGATGGAAAGAAAGACGAGGTACAGTGCAACCCAAGATCGCTTAAAAGTAGTCGTCTATATGCTTAGTTGCTAATATTGCTTTCTCCCAGTCTTCGAATATTCTTTCCCGTCCCCTTTTCCGTGGCTTCTTTTCGTCGACCCAAGCACCAATAGATACAGACGAGGAACAGCAGAAGAAGGTGAGAAAGGTAGCCTCTAGGTGCATGACCTATGCAGTGGAGCTTATGAAAGCAGGTCAAGCTCCTTGAGCGTCGCATCGCGCAGCTCGGTATCACCAATCTTAAAGAGGAGCACTTTGGCTATGCCCTACAATCATCGCATGCCCAGGGAGATGTAGACAAAGCGTTTGACTTACTACTACTTCTCGAGGACTCTATAGAAGGGATCATAAGGGGATATACGCCAAGTACGAAGCTTCTGGGAGCAGAGAATCGTCAAGGAGTTACCTGCTATTTAGACGCACTTCTTTTTGCGATGTTTGCTCGTTTAGATTGCTTTGAGGCTATCCTATACAAATCCTTCAATGACGAGCCTCGTCGAAAACTTGTCATACTGTTAAGGCTCTGGGTCAACATGCTGCGGTCAGGAAAACTTATAACAACGGACCTCGTACGTGTGCTATTTCTGCTTACGCTGCAACGAGAAGAGACACTGACGGGATGTCTGAAGACCAAACACCTGCAGGACGCACTAGCTGAATGTGGCTGGGAAGATGCTGCTAAGCTACGTCAGCAAGATACGTCGGAAGCGTTCACATTTATTACAGGAAAGCTGGAGTTGCCGCTCCTTACTTTAAAAATGGACATCTATCATACGGGGAAGGAAGATGCAAGCGATGACCACAAGTTTGTTAATGAAAGGTTACTAGAGGTTGCGATACCGGAGCCTCATGATGGAAACACTGTCACACTCGAGGATTGTTTGGAATCATACTTCAACAATCGGATAGAAGTGAAACGACACCTTGAACGGCGTAACACTGTGGGATCTACTAAATCGGTAGACTCATTATCGAAGGGTTTCACGACGCACGTCGAGACAGTGGAAATTAGTCCATCCCCTTCGACATCCCCGACAACCCTATCACCTCCTCGACTTGATGAAGTGACCCCAATCTCGTCGGTGACGGAAACAAGTGGCTCAAACACACCTAAGCCCAGGCGAAGCAGCATCGTCCAAGAACGTTTTATTCCTGACTCAGAAGGCGATGGAAACATGACATCACAACGAAGAGGCTCATATCGGAAAGAGGTCATGATGCCTGCATGGCAGTTCTTTAGTTTGATACGTAAGACCTACTGTTACGTTCCTTATACTCGCGGGTGATAACATCGATATAGCTTGGTATACGGATAATACACCGACCAATGATGCACAGGTTGCAGCACATTTTTCGTCAAAACGACCAATACTGGGATTGTGCCTAAAGCGTTATTCTATGTTACCAAACGGTAAAGCCGTCCGACTTAATACCTTCATTGATATACCAACAGAGATTGGACTACCCCATTTCATCCAAGATGATAACTTGGACGAAGAGGGTCCGATATACGGGAATTTTAAGCTGTCCTTGCAGGCAATGATTTGTCATAGAGGCAACTCGGTTGACTCAGGGCATTACATTGCTATTGTTAGGGGCACTAGTGCTGGTGCTCCCCCAACTAGCTCTCATAGTTCGGAGACAGCCTTTTCGGATACCACCAAATATTGGATGCGATTTGATGACTTGGCCGCGGAGCGTGTGACTTTAGTTGATATTGAACGAGCCCTGAAGCACGAGTCGCCGTATCTTCTATTTTACCAAATCCTGCCGGTCAATGAAGATGCTGCGGCGGTCAATCTCCCAGACACGGCGCCTTCTTCTGAAATGTCAGATGATGTTCAGGAAATAGACATCTCGGCAATATCCCAGAAATTAAGCACCTCGGGGGGTGATCTTCCTGAAAGTTGGCATACGGAGGGACTCCGCTCGAACAGACCGAGCTTTGAAATCACCGCCCCGGATAATGCAGAAATCCTGCCTCTGGAGCAGAATGACAGAAAACATAGTGTGGCCTTCTCCGACGCAGTTGAGTCGAATGCCTCTGGAGGACTTCAGGTACGAGCGGTGCCATCGACGTCACCGAGACTTGGCCCAAGAGACGATGATAGAGGGAGGAACTCCTTCTCATTTTCTCGGCATACCTCAAGGAACCGGAGAAGCGCACCTGGCAGCCGTGCGGGGAGCCAAACTAGCGAAAGCAGAATTAGTGCTACATTCTCACGTTTCACCGGTCGACGCAGCAGGGATAAAGTCAACGGCGATGGCTTCTCGACTGAGGACGATGAGTTTGCTGTTGAGAACATGCCACCAGGCGAGGGGGCTATGTCAACAAGCAGTGAAAGCAATGAGAAAAGTCCTACACGCGGAAAGGAAAGCACCAAGAACAAAGGGAAGTCTAAGGAGAAGTCCAGGGAGAAGATTGGGCGAAAGCTGGAGCGGGAGTGCTCTGTAATGTGAACGATGCATCTTTGACAGTTCCATGATTGATGCTTTTCATGATTCCACACTTCTAGAGAGAGGTGCTTGATACCCAGCCACTTGTTATTTATCTCAGCCACGCAAATTCGGGCTGGTGTTACTGTGTATAGACTATGAGCGAATGCATTAGAAATAGACTTTAGGGGCGGGATTCTGTATAACAAGGACCCTGGATGTTGTACGGTGGTAGACCGGTCCACAGTAGGTAACTGGTTGTGCTATAAGAAATGCTTCATTGATAGAACAAGACCAGTGTGTGCCTCAGGCAAGAAGAGTCATGCCAAGGCATCAACAGCTGTCTTAGCTTCCCCATCCCGCCCTATCGGTATCAATCGCTCAGTCAACAGCTTGACACAAGCTCGTTTAGCAACTGTTCGACCCTCTTTCTCGGGGAACCCGCTATGATATAGCACTTTTTGTCACTATTAGCGCATCATGGCGCTGGATGCATCAAACGGTTATGTTGCTCCTAGCAACTTAACTGAAACCCCCGACTCCGCACTCTTCGATGTCCGACGTGTCCAGCTTCAGTTCCCGCTCGCTGCGGATTTCGTCGCTGCGCAAGTTGCGAACAATGTACTCATTCTGGCTCTCGCAACCAATCGTATTCTTAGAATTGACTTGGAAGCCCCCGAAGATATAGACGGTATGTCGTGCCCTGTGACTCGCCGAATCTCCAAGTTCCCCCTCGTTACGATGTTAATTCGGCTGTTCTAGATATCGACCTTCCAAAGAAATCCTCGGAAATAGGAGTTATTCGTCGCATGTTCCTGGACCCTTCCGCATCCCACTTAATAATTACCACCACCCTTGGCGAGAACTACTATCTCCATACCCAGTCGAGGCAACCCAAACCACTGTCGCGGTTGAAGGGAGTTTCAATTGAGTGTATCGCCTGGAACCCATCGCTTCCGACCGCTTCTACTAGGGAGATACTTCTAGGAACTACAGATGGCCATATCTACGAGGCTTATATCGAGCCCTCCACCGAGTTCTATCGTCGCGAGGAAAGATACGCCACCGCTGTGTATAAAGTGCCGGAGGCTTCGCCGGTGACAGGACTTTGGGCGGAGCTAGTTCAAACTCAGTCGGAGCAGAGGCGCGTGCTGATAGCGACCCATGGAAGGTTAACATATTTCATAGGGCGGACGGGAAGACATGGAAGAGAAGGCGGAGGCTCTATATACGCCGATCTCTTCCAACGAGAAACACCTTTAGTGCACGAGGCCCAAAAGGCTTCAAACGCTGCACCTTCAGCCCTGGCCATATCACCAAGCGCTGCGGATAGGAACACTGCGAAGGAGTTTGCGTGGCTTAGCTCCCAAGGTGTATATCATGGCCAGCTTCCATACTCTTCTGAGAAAGTGAACCAACCCTTTGAGGCTGCGAATATGCTTTCGCGGTCATTCTTTCCAGCTACTGAATCTGCGCGAGGAGGCAAAAGGCTTATTCAGAATCCTATTACTGCTATGACGCTTTCGCAGTGGCATATTCTAGCCCTCGTCGAGGGTAGAGTTATTGCCGTGAACCGCATGAACGAAGAGATCGTTTATGACCAGGCTGTATTGGAACCGGGACAGAGTACGCTGGGTCTCTTGGCAGACTCTACACAACAAACCTACTGGTTGTTCACCAATCAAGAAATCTTCGAGATCGCAGTCGAGGACGAGGACAGAGATATTTGGAAGGTGTTTCTGCAGAAACAGATGTTTGATGAGGCCCTTCATTACGCTCGCTCCAGCACACAAAAGGATGTGGTCTCCACTGCTTCAGGTGACTTTCTTGCCAGCAAGGGCCGATATCTGGAGGCGGCCAAAGTCTGGGGTAAGAGTAGCAAGGGGTTCGAGGAGGTCTGTTTGACTCTGATTAATGGCGGGGAGCACGACGCTTTGCGAAAGTATCTTCTTGGCCAATTATCAACCTACAAAAAATCATCGTCAATGCAGCGGATAATGGTTGCAAGCTGGTTGGTAGAGGTGTTCATGACCAAGTTGAACTCCTTGGATGATAACATGGCCACCAACGCGGAAGTGGCAGAGGGAACAAGCACTGAAGATATCAAAGGCCAACTCAGTGGTGTCCGTTCTGAGTTTCAGGAGTTCGTCACCAAGTATAAGTCCGACCTCGATAAGAAGACGGTGTACGGCATAATCAGTAGTCACGGTCGGGAAGAGGAGCTGCTATATTTCGCCACAGCCGTCAGTGACCACAATTATGTGCTTTCTTACTGGATCCAACGCGAGAAATGGCCAGAGGCTCTGAATGTTCTCCAGAGACAAAGTGACCCTGACGTATTCTACAAATACAGCAGTGTGCTTATGACCCATGCAGCTACTGGTTTGGTCGATATCTTGATGCGACAGACGAACCTTGACCCCGAAAAACTTATACCTGCTCTGCTGAACTACAATAAGATGTCAAATGTTCCGCTTAACCAGAACCAAGCTGTCCGATACCTCAATTTCATCATCGTCAACCACCCAAAACCCTCACCGGCAGTGCACAACACACTTATATCAATACATGCTTCGAGCATCTCCTCCTCGGAAGCAGGGCTCTTAACCTATCTTCAGTCACAAGCTTCATCTCCACCCCCTTACGATGCGGATTTTGCCCTTCGTCTTTGTATTCAACACCAGCGCTTTCAGTCATGCATCCACATCTACAGCGCTATGGGACAGTATCTCCAAGCAGTAGAGCTGGCTCTGCAGCATGAAGATATTGAGCTAGCAGCTATCATTGCTGACAGACCGGAGGGGAACGATAAGCTTCGAAAGAAATTATGGCTCCTCGTGGCCGAGAAGAAGATTCAACAACCTGGAACCGGTATTAAAGACGCTATTGAGTTCCTTCGCCGATGCGAACTCCTCCGCATCGAAGACTTGATTCCGTTCTTTCCAGACTTTGTTGTCATCGATGACTTCAAGGATGAGATATGCAGTGCTCTGGAAGATTACTCCCGGCATATTGACGCCCTGCGCCAGGAAATGGACAACTCAGCACATACAGCGCGACAGATCCGATCCGAAATCGCGGCTTTGGATATGCGCTACGCCATCGTGGAACCCGGAGAAAAGTGCTGGCTTTGTTCACTCCCAGTTCTGAGTCGGCAACTCTTCGTTTTCCCATGTCAACACGCCTTCCATAGCGACTGCTTGGGGAAGGAGGTGCTCGAGGGAGCCGGTGGCAAAAAGAAGTATATACGGGATCTGCAAGCGCAGCTAAACAACAGTGACATAAGTTCATCTCGACGGGAGGAGATAGTCAAAGAATTAGATGGCTTGATAGCAGAGGCTTGGTAAATACCTACCCCTTCCCACCAGGCAGAAAGAACAAGGTGCAGCTAACTCATGGATAGTATCCTCTGCGGAGACCATGCGCTCAAACAAATCGACAAGCCATTCATAACGGCCTCTGACGCGGCAGACGACTGGGTATTGTGAGAGCAATGTTTCGATGTAATTCCCACCTCTGTTATCGTTTTATTTATGAGTTATATCCTGGAGTGTTTCTCTTTCCGATTTGACGGGCGTCGTTCCACCGACTTCCGCATGAAAGAATCCGTTATGTTTATACCATTGCCTTACAAGTTGTTAGAATATATCCCAATCCAGAAGTCCGCCTATACGCACGTAACCCAGATATTGACATTGGTCATTACCCAATACTCTATATAATTTAGAGAAAACCAACAGACGATAGTCTACATAACCACCAACCAACCACCCAGTCCTCTCACAACCAAGACAGTAAACCAAAAAAAGGAATAGAACAAGAAGAAAGAGAATGGTAGTCATCATAAAAGCCTCAAAAGCTCCAAATCCTTCGCAACAGCAGGACTAAACGGCGCACAATCTTCCAAGAACTGCAGCATTTCCTGACTCCACCGCTCCCAGTCCGGGGGCAGCGTACTCCGGAGACGGGGATCCGGGGAATGAGAGATACAATAGAAGAGGAGGACCTGGCCGAAGAATCTACATCGAATCAGTTTCTTGCTAGTCCACTTTGACGAAACTGGAAGATAATTCGAGAAGAAAGCGAGGGGGGGGGGGGGGGGGGGGCGCGGAAGAACATACTGGGAACAAAAGGCAAACTTGATCGGAATACAGCTTTTCATGTTTTGGAAGATGCCGCCGACGACGGGCCAGTCCATGGCGTTTTGAAGGCCGCTGCGGACTTGTTCGAGGTCGTCTTCCGAGAGGGAGGCCGGGATGCGGAGGGCTTTGTAGAGGTATGGACGGCCGATGTGGAAGTTGGCGATCTTGAAGCGGCCGCGGAGCATGGCTTCTGAGACGGCGGTTGCGGGGGAGAGCGGCCGGTTAGGATCTAGAGGGAGGGGGGAGATGGGGGTTGACGGCGACGTGATGGGGGTTGTGGTGGCGTTGTTGGGGTTTGCTGGGGTGGCTGCGTGGGTATCTTGGAATTGGATGGCGGGTGGGAGGTTGAGACGCCATTGCTCGAGTTGGTGGTGGAGCTCTGCGTTGATAGCTGGGAGTGGGAAGGTCCCTGAGTCGGCTGGTGTTGTTGTTGTACTGTTAGCTTTGATATTAGATTTAGACGGAGTGGTCTGTGGCTTACAGTAGAAGTACAATGAGTGACGGATGCGAGTGAGGATGATGCGGTGGGCGACCTGCGCGAGGAAATGGTATTGAAAGAATGAGTCGTCTAGCTCTTGTGAGGCGGATCGAGGAGGTACCAAGCCAACAGTTTCGAAGCTGATGAACTTTGGAATAGGCACGAATTCCTCGAGTCGGGCTAGGCCGCTGGGAGGGAGATGCAGTTCTTGCACGAGGATGGTCTCGTTCATTAAGCAGTTCCAGTATACGCGGGACTTCATATCACCCTCCCATTCATCGAAATTGACGTCGTGGCTAGAGGTATTCGTCAGTATAGCGCAGAGTGAAGATGTAAACCTGATGGACTCACTTGGTCATCATTTGGAGACAGCACGTAGCAGCGCGGTGAATCATAGCCCACGCATCCATCGGACGGAGGATTTGGCTGTAATAGACTCTATTTATCTAATTAGCCAATAGCCCGGGACGGTAACGAAAGGGGTCGCGTACGATGACAGCATATAGAATTGACAGCTCTGAAGGTCGTTATCGCACATCAAGAAGCCAATGCGTCGACGTGCCTCATTGAAGAAACGTAGGCCCAGCGGCTCCTCATGGATCACCGCCATCCAGTCTGGCGGTTCAAAACGATTGCTCCGTGTACCAGGTAGCGGATAATTCCCTTCTTGATGAGCCTGAACAGCATGGCAGCCCAATGCTAAAATATTCAAAACTAGGCAGCTTTCTATTGTGTAGCCGAATCCGCTCTCAATTGCCGCCCAGATCGTGAACGCAAAGTAGAAGTTCTTATCCATGATTGGGGTGAAAGGATTGAGCGTGGCAAAAAATGCATCAGAGAGACCTTTGATCATTGCCAGCGGAAGCGACTCTAGCCAGTCATCACCAGCCTGTGGAGGATATGGACAAATGTACATGGGGAGCTGAGGTCTTTTGGCCTCCATGTCGATAACGTAGTTCTTCCCTAGTCTTTCATGGGCTTCGAGTAGTCTCTTGGGGAGAATATCCCGGGCCCCTGGCCAGAGGATCACCCCATGCTGACTGAAAGAGATGGATACTAGCCCGTTCGAGTTTGTGACCTTTTGATGCTCATCAAACTCAAAATCGTCGTGTTCTATAGCGTCAGGAGTAAGGCCCTGTGCCAGGGGATTCGGAACAGACGTCCGGACATTGAAACCCTGACTGCTGCGCCCTGGGGTGCTCGTATCTAATGGGCTATCAATAGTTCGAGGAATGGGCCTCGGACGTGACTGTAAATCATTACAGATGGATGACGGAAGACTTTCGAGTTTGGTCTCCATTCGATGGAGCGTGCTCATGATCAAGCTGAGCGAGTGGTCTCGTCTGCGCCACGTTAGTAAAACGCAATTGGGAGCTAATACGCTACTAAAGTTACGTACTTGGACGATTTGCGTTCGTTGTAGACGCACTCTAGACCGAGGGACTTGCACAGACCACATTTTGGTCGGGATTCGTCGCATCGGGTCTTTTTGAGCCGGCATGTTTCGCATGCCTATTGTACGGGGTTAAACGGGGAACGGGGAAATGACAACTGGAGACGTCAAGGAAGACTTACGACTGTGGCAATAAAATTCCGAGGCTTTTTGCTCGAGGCTGCCGACTGTGACTGGTCTTGCGTGGGTGAGAGAAGGTCATTGATAGGTAATAAACCATTATGACTGTTATCGATATGCTCCGGCGGCTGAGAGCCACCGGGAGAGAATGACTCCTGGTATGAACGCTTGCTCATTGTGCATGGTTGGGCGGGAGAATTAGCCTCCACTGAGGATTACGGCATGAAACCCGGAAGCCAGACCATAATTTCGACGCCAGAGATGAATCTGATATCGCGATCTTTTCGCATGATTGACTGATTCATTGGAATTTCTGCCGGAGTGGAGGCGCCGAACTCCGACGGGCCAATCACCGGTAGGTCATATGATGTTATCAATGCTTATCGTTATTTAAGTCGGATTTTCCAAAAAGATTAGATCCTTTTACTTAGTATGTCCTCCGTAGGTATCTCATGGTAAAGCATCAAAACATCTTATTTACTCCTCCACCGTGCCTTCCTTCTTGGCCCCTCTCACAGAATTCCATTTCATCCAGAGTGCAGCCACCATCCCCACGCAGGCCGCAGCGACACCGGCCCAGAAAGCTCTTGTGACAGCCGAGTTGTAGATCGCAATCACCCGTTCCTTCTCTGATGCAGGTACATTCTTCAGAAAGCCCGTCGCTCCCTGCTCTATGACGCTGCCAACGTCTAGACTAGGGACACTGGACAAGCCCTCTCGAAGGAGGTTTGTGAAAATATTTTGCGACACGGAAATAGAAATTGCGGCACCGATACTAATGGAAAAGCCAACCGCCGCCATACCAACGGGGATATCCTTGGCGTCAAGCGCAGTCTGAATTGCCGACCAAGGTTGGGGGAATGCCAGCCCGATGCCGATACTAAACATGACCTGCCATCCGACCCAGGCAGAATCTGTGGTCTTTGGGGTGAACCTTGTTAGGAACCCGAATCCAATGGCCATCATTGTGGAACCCAGCAACATGAGAGGTATGTAATATCCAATGGCAGAGACGATGAAGCCGGAGCTGATTGCGGCAATGGAAAGGCCAATAATGGAAGGAAGAAGCATTTGCCCGGATTTGGCTGCTGTGGCACCCTTGATCGCTTGAAACCAGATGGGCAGCTTTGAGGTATGTTAGCCATGTTAAGCTCACCATCGCGAATGGCATCAAGTCAGGCGACTTACAAAGTAATCGATGACGTTGAAGGCCGCCGATGAACAGAAGGCGTAGATTAAGCATAGACCGGCAGTTCTGTTGAGTATCACAGATCGAGGAATTGTAGCGTCATCTTTTTTCAGCACCTCGAAAACAACGAAACCTCCAAATGATACTGCGGCGACTACCAGGACAGCAATGACTCTACCGCTGCCCCAACTGTACGTAGTGCCACCCCATTGGAGCGCTAGCAGGAGACAAACAACGCTTCCAGTGAATATGAGAAGACTCATAATGTTGAGCTGCTTGATTTTGGTTAAGAATGGCTCGTCGGTAACTTTTTGATTCTCCGGATTCTTGAAGAGGAAGATAATCACAACCATTGTGAATCCACCCACAGGGAGGTTGAGCCAGAAACTACCACATTGCAAGGGGTGTCAGAAGCCGGTTCTCCCAGACAAGATCTGCAGTACTCACCACCATCGCCATGTGACGTAGGTTGTAAGAGCACCTCCAATCACTGGTGCGACGATCATTGCAATACACTCGAGGCCTCCGACGGTACTATTGCATATCGGCCTCCAGCGAAGCGGAACTGTATGGGAAATTGCGCTGTCACACGAGTAATCAGTACCCAAACATGGTTGGCTAGATCAAGAGGGACAGAACTGACATTAAAACCCCGTTAAGGATCCCAGAGGAGCCACAGCCCGCGATGGCCCTTCCGACGATGAATGCAGCTGAACTCGGCGCTGAGGCAGACACAATGGACCCGATTTCAAGGACGGCCACCGCCATAACAAGAACCCATTTTACCCGGAATTGCTCGTATAGCTTTCCAAAAAGAAACTGCGTTGAACATGTTGTAAGTCGGTCTATGGCTCTCGTCAGCTAGTGATCCAGGATCGGCGATACTAGATCCCAAATGAGCCTATATCACCTACATGCTGAGCCATACCATCCAATATCGGTCAATGAATGGAATTCATTGGTCAAGGTGGGAGTTGCTGTGCCCACGATGGTATTGTCCTGCAGTCCTGCGAGTCAGCTGATGTGCTGCAGACGGCGACGCTAATACTTGCAAGCCCTAAAATAAAAATCCCAAGCCCCATCGCAAAAAACACGGGCAGCTGCTGCCACGGCCGGAAATCCATTGGTTCATTACTACCCCCTAATGCCTCTTCATTGGAAATTGGCTGGATATCAGGGTCTGTCGCCTGGATAGCTTTTTCGCCATTTCCCGCCATACTATACAGGTAAATGGTATTGCCAGTCGCAGCGGCTGCTGTCAATAAGACTATCCCTACCAGAACAAGATCGCGGTCAACAGAGTAAAAGGACGCAGGATCGCAACAAACTGAAATGTGAACTTAGCAGAATGTTGTGAGACCAAACCCGGGCGCCCTTGGGATATCCCAGAGCCTGCCCTCATGGGCAGGCTCAGCATATCCCTGCAGCACACCATATTCTATCTAGGCCACCACGGACTCCCTAATGGTGCTATCCTGGCTCGGAATAATATAAGTACTAAGATCGGCAAGCCAAACCGCTCGGACCACCTCTAATAGACAAAGAATTCCTGGCATCATTGCATCCACTATTGGCTAACACCCCTGCAGGCTGGCCCACTAAGTGTCGCCGACGTAGCCGGCCCTATCTCCAGCCTATCTCCCGTTCAGAAAGTATCTTCTAATTTGTAGATAGCAATAGTCATTCTAAGGAGTATGTCTTACGGTATATAATCATCATCAACGCGGGCGGCCATGCTTGGATTTCATACCGGTGCGTGTGAATGTAGACCAGGAGGAGCGGCCCCCGGAGATCATGTTGCAAGATGGAAAACATGCTATATAAAGTCCAGTTCAATAGTTAAATGTTTGTTTAATCTTAATTAAATTTTATATTTTAGAGGAAGATACTACTATATTACTATACTACTATATACATTTAGAGATTAACCACCTAATGTTGGTGGTGTAGTTGGTGACGATACTATTTACAGAATAGCCTTTGCCAGCCCAAGCCCTAAGTCAGCCATTGGCACAATTACTAACCTATACATAACATCTGATTTCCGCTCTTTCGCGAATGTAGTATGCGATCATATATGATAGATGATTGATAATGCAATGTGAGATTCCCAGTACTTCCATACCGATATGTCTATCGTGAATATCAATATAGTTGAGAAAGTGTTGGCTTTCGAACCCTGTTAACTCAATCAGACTGACATGATTCACGTGGGCATGTTTCTGCGATAGGAAGGCGGTGAATGGAGGGACTGTTCCGAATATCTGCGTTTTATGGACGCGACTCCAGAGCTACATTTGACCCAGCTGATGCATGAAGTCAAAGTAAGTAGGTAGTAGTTTGTCTTACCAGCAGACGTGGCTGGCTGTGGAATATAATGTCACATGAGCATCGCCCAGGCGAGCAGGAGGATGTCAACTCGCTCACGGTGAGTGATATGGGAGATGACGGTCAGTCTAAGTCTAGCTACAGAAAACAAGAGCCGTTGACTTACTATTTTCAATAGTCAGCTTAACCTTGGATCCCAGCTTGCTTGAATTCTCTTTCCCGTATATACCAACGTCATCTGAGCTATACCCTATCAACCCATTGGAGATCGATCAACAACTTGATCAACACTTGGTACCACTGCCCACTTTTCTAGATCATGATCTGGACAGGGAAAATCAACTAGTGTTATCTGGGGATGGCTTTATTGACAGAACTGCGTGGCTATCTACTGGCTCAGACCTCCAACAACTACACAGTGCTCGTCCCAATGTCTCATCAAGCACCATGGCCGACGGCACTTCAGCGACTGAGCCAGGCGTCAGTGCCGAGGAATCTGAGCATACTACCATATCACAGCCCAAAATACCCTCCAGCGCTCGTACTGGTCTCCCCCGGCGCAGGAGCCGCTATCTAACCCGACGGCAGGATCAACAGAGCGGCCCGATTGTTATCCCAAATGCGAATGCAATGGGTCCCATGGAGAGATGGCGTGAGTCTCCACCAGAGGATGAGCCGGCGTCTATATCAGCTATTCTGGACGCCTTGAAAAAAACACCAACCCAGCGGTCGACTCAAAGGAGCAGCCGCCCGGCTACACACAACACAGGGCAAAATGTGCTCCGCCATTATAGGCGAGCTCCATCCGCAACAAGCGGCGAATCTAGTGGCTCATCAAATGCGTCTTTCGGCTCCGCCCTATCACATTCTCCTTCTGATGATCCTTTAAGCCGTATCTCTAAAAGCCGGACCAGCAAAAATACCGTGCAGGCACGAGACAAAACTGATAAGCCTCGGCGATTTTGCTGTACCTTCTGTTGTGATAAGTTCAGGAGCAGATATGACTGGGCTCGGCATGAGAAATCACTCCATCTGAATTTGGAGGCGTGGTATTGCGCTCCCCATGGGACCGCCGTCTTTTCAAGAGTGACAGGAAGAAAACACTGTGCGTTTTGTAACGCACTAGATCCTAGTGCAGCACACCTCGATCAGCACAACCATAATGTATGCCATGGTGACACTGGCAAGCCCCGCTCCTTTCGTCGCAAAGATCATCTAGTGCAACATCTGCGTCTCATGCATAATATTGACACTTTACCTCTCATCGATGATTGGAAGATTTCACATTCTGCTGTCCCGTCACGTTGTGGGTTCTGTGAGCACAGTATGGATACTTGGGAACAACGAGTTGACCACCTGGCTGAACACTTTCGGAAAAATGCTACGATGAAAGATTGGAAAGGTGACCACGGGTTTCCACCCTCCATTGCTGCTCAGGTTACGAACTCTTTACCCCCTTATCTGATAGCAGAGGAGTCTCAGAGTCTGATTCCGTTTTCTGCGACCAACACACACGTTCAGGATCATTTTGCGCAGATCTCGTCGCGTGCCCATTATCTTACTGAAGAGCAGAAGGCGAGCCCGGACAAAGTTGGCGAAGATGCCCAAGCAGAGGCTGCCGCTAAGCCAAACATTTCCATGTCGGAGCTCAGCTCCTTTACACAGGTTCTTACACTGCATTTAAGTCACTATGCCCGAGAGAAAATCAAGCAGGGTGTCATGCCTACAGACGATATGTTCCAACAGGAAGCAAGACGAGTACTTTACGATTCCGAGGACTCGTGGAATCAGACTATCGCTGATAACCCGGAATGGCTGTCTGCATTTCGACATCTACACTGTGGGGAGAGGAACAGTATCGAGCCCAGATCTGGAGGGGTAGAGTCGGTAGATCACCACCTGGAAGACATCCCTCAGAGTGGTATGGGGAGATGAATTAATTTGCTCACCTTTCACTAAAATACTGTTCTATGTTAAGTGCAAACTATCCTCTGTACTTATCTCTTCTCCCTCTTCCCCGTCCGCTGTATCCGCCACGTCCGGGTGACCAACTGTAGCTTTCCCTCTGCAGTTCTCCAAATCCCAAAGAAATTCGTCGACCTTGCTTCTGTGACCTGGATATCAGACCCAAATAACCACAAGCTCTGACTGCAGCCCTCTTTATTCGCTTGCTGTTAGCGAGGGTTGTGAACTCATAGTTTTCAGTGGCTTTGCAGACTCTGACCCGCCTGGCCAAACCCGGACCTGTCAATAGCACTGGTAAGCGGATACCTTGGCCGGCCGATATAGATGGATTTGAGGAGGGCTTGAGGTATGGCCAGTACAAAACGATGACACACAGAATAGCACCCCGAGGAGCCTAGAAGCCTAAGCCGCCATCCACGCCCACAAGGGCTGGCCGGATGTAGAGCAAGGAACCTGCACGATTCCAAGGCAACCATCCGTGTCCATCCAGCGCACATGACAGTTGCTCGGGCTCAACACCAGGTAGGGAAATTCAAATGGCGGACGCCAGCACAATTATGGCAGAGATAGAATGGACGTAGCTTCCCATATAACCCCGGTTGGCCTTCATATCTACACACTCGCAGATGACTCTAGCACAAGAGATCCATGGGGTATGGACTATGGTGCCTCCCATCCTGATGCTGCAAACCACCGCGCGGCCATACTATCCGTGAATAGCTTGTGGGTGGCTAATTCTGAATCATTATTGTAGGGACTGACTTGGGTTCATCGGTTCAGGCGACTTGGAGGTTCAAAACGTCAGGTTTGTTGAGACTAGGCGGGCGAGAAGGCTGGCCACCGGTGAACTGACGGGGGTGGGACTCGTCGAGAGACATCCTCAGTATGTCAAGGCGAGAATCTGGCTTATTGATGATCGTGAATCTATAGCACGGTAAACAATCAAGAAATACTTGTGGATAACAAACCCTCTCAATGGAAACAACTGCGCTTTGTATTAGTGACACTTTGGAGACGGTCTAAGGCATAGCTAACAACATGCTCGAATCGCTGTCCTTCATCTCCTCAGTTGCCATCGAGTGATGAAACTCTCCAGCTCTTCTAGTAGGAACATATTGCGTGTGTCAACCGTGACTAGGGAGATACAGCAGAAGATAAAAAGGGCGTCCAAGGCGTAAGGCGCAAGGCGGCGATAGGAAATTTACGCCAACTCGAAAGTGATTGGCAGAGGTGCTACTTCACCTCTCCCATGAATCCACTGAGAATTAGTAAACGGCTTCGAGACCAGCATAAATTCTATCCTAAACGCAGAGATGGATGATGAAGCTATTATCCCGAGAGGCGTAGGGCGTAGGGCGCGGCCGGCACATTCTGCTTCGGGAAACCGACCCGAATCGAAGTTCTTGAAGACAGTCCTATACACCCTATGCGTGCCCTATGGCTTCGGTGATTATTTATAAAGATTATAAACCTGCATTGGAATTCGTCTAGCCGGCTGAACGAAATGTCTGAAACATTGAGTTCTTTATCCCACTCTCAATGCGGTTGTTCCGTGTCAAGCATAGGCTCATGACATCGCCTTTATCACTAGTCTCAAAGACCTACCATTCAATGACACGATCCTTTTCTATGCCTCATTCAGAGTCACCACCAAGGATCCACGTCCTCGGACTTGGAAGTATCGGTACCTTTACCGCCCATGGTCTGTCCGAAATCCCCAACAGGCCTTCCGTCACTCTCCTTCTCCATCGCGAATCGCTACTAGGCGGATTCCAGGAGAACGGAAACCAACTCCTACTTACAACACGCGAAGGTTCCCAAATCAGGCACAGTGGCTATGATCTGGAAGTATACCGGGAAAGGGGATGGTACGCCGAGCCTTCATCACCATCCTCAGCAGCCATAAACACCAACATCACGCACCTCATCATCAGCGTCAAAGCAACACAAACCGTTTCAGCGCTACAACCCCTCAAGCACCGGCTAGGCGCTAACTCCACCATCCTCTTCCTCCAAAACGGCAGCGGCATGATCGATGAAGTCAACGAATCATTGTTCCCTAACCCGGAGACACGACCCAACTACATCATAGGAGTCATCTCGCACGGCGTAACGCTCAACCGACCATTCAACGTCACGCACACTGGCTTCGCGGCGATGTCCTTGGGACTAGTTCCTCGCTCCCAAGCAACATCCCATTCCCGGGAGTCTTCATGTTCATACCTCCTCGATAATCTCCCCCTATCCCCCCGGCTGAACGCAACGCCATACCCCTATACGGAAGTCCTACAGATCCAGCTCGAGAAACTAGCCGTCAATGCCTTCTGTAACCCCCTTTGTGCCTTGAATGATGCGAAGAATGGGTTCCTGTTCACCATCCCCGACACGCGCAGGGAGATTCTTATGGAGATCTCGAACGTCGTGCTTGCGTTACCGGAGTTGAGGGATGTTGCGGGTGTAAAGGAGCGGTTTGCTGTGGATAGGCTGGAGGCAACAGTGAATGCGATTTTGACTAAGACGGCTGAGACGACGTGTTCGATGGTGTGGGATCTGAGGGCTGGACGCGAGACGGAGGTGAGGTTCATTAATGGGTATTGGGTGAGGAGGGGGAGGGAAGTTGGGGTGAAGACGCCGGTGAATGAGTACTTGGTGGAGGAGGTGACGAAAAGGAGTCGTAGATAATTGAAATCAAATGGTTTTGGAAAGCTTTTTTTTTCCCTGTAAATGGTTATTGGTCTAAGTTATCTGTGCTGCAGAGTCTAGCAGTGCTCAACGGTTAGGGCATGCATACCATCATCTGTTACGCTGTTTCCTTTGGATTTTTCAGTGGAGTGGCTATCAGTGTTTCCAGAGTATGTGAAGTAGAGGATTTTGGGAAAGAGTTGGAGCTACATATGCCATTGTTAACATTGGTACGTTGATAGGATACCACTTTCAGGAGCTATCCAGCAGTATAACGGTAGTGAATACTGGAGGCTCATCATTCTAGGGGGAAGTGTTGTATACGATATTTGCCTTGCCTTTAGATCAATTGAATGAGGCCAAAGATAGACAGGAGGGTGTTTTTCATTTGCCGAAGTCGCCTAAACTTGCACTCACGACATATCAGTGTCATCTACGCTGCCTTAGACCGGTTTTTTTTTTTTTTTTTTGCGAAGTATCTGTATGAGGTATCTTATCCTGGTGAAATAGGATCTTCTTGGGAAGTAAAAGTGTACTCGAATATATACCCTAGCTATGACATATTGTTGGCATGTTTGATCCCAGCCCTACCTTTTTGTCTACTTGCTCCAATCCTTTCTGCATTTTCTCGTCCATATACTTTGTGCGTGCTATCCTTCCCTAGAAAGCACGAAATCCCACGATCGTTTTCCGTTCACTGCTATTAAGAGGATTACAATAGCGCTTTTCTTCAACAAATTGAGGCATCACTGACTAGCTTCCATCGTTGGACTCGACGGCTGCACAGCAACAAATACGCCAATAGTTGGTACAAAGCCGAGGTATGCCCGAGGACTCAATGGCTTTGATCCCAGTTGATAAGAACGATGATATGCTTTGGAAGCTTGGTTGTTGAAGTCTACTCTACGTATGTGGCATCCTTCTTTTCTTTATTTCTTTCTGTCCGTTGCGAACAAATAGTCAGAGGCAGCATCTACTCTCTCCCAGATGTGTCTAGTTGAGAGTGGAATTATTGTCGCTTTGGTATGCAAACTCCCACTGGACGTTTATGCAAGTAAACCCTGCGACAAAGAAATATATCTTCAGAGATACCGTGGATACCTTCTAGACTATTTGGCATCGCCCTTGATACTAGTAGAACCTGTGTGATAGAGACGATATACATAAGAACTCGACATACAGTCTCGCATTTCCCTTGAGGAGTAAAGCCCTACAACCGACAGCCGCAGACGCAGACTCTGGACATTTACCATCCTATCTACATACAAATTAAGACGAATCACTTCCCCCAACAAGTCCTTCTCAAAGCACCACAGCTTTCTCCAGAGAGGACACGTAACAGCGCATCAGTAGTGAATATCTCCCAATTGGCGTGGTACTATAACAAACCGACCCATCATGCAGCATTAAAAAAAAAAAGTACATGTTGGATATATTTTACCCGTAGTACCAGACTAGTTCCAGAGACAACGTCGGTATCAAATTGAGTGGATATCTGCTGACGATGCATACGTACATCTTCTACATTCAACAATCACCAACACACAAACCGAATAAAAATAGAAGACAGCGATAACTGAAAAAAAAAGATCCTTAGAATCTCAACGAACAGGGCGCTTAACGTTCCCGTTATGCGGATTTCTCAAAGGGATGCGCTAAGAGGGTCTAGCTGGGGATCAGGTCCCCACCGCGGATGCAGCGTCAGCAACACAACAGCAAACACCCATATCCAGTGGGAAGCACACCCAGCGGCAAAGGCTGCCTTAGCTCCAGGGCTGCAGGTTGCTAGAAACAGGCAATTCGGGGGATATTCCTTGGTATGTGCATTACATTCTGGAGATGGGATGTACAGTGTACTGTGCAGAACAGGCGCTAATGCACAGCTCACTAGAGATTCTAAGACATGGGAAGGAGAGAAAAAGCTAACGACAGTAGGATGCGTCAAAAACGGTTTGAAGGCAGACAGTAGGTAGGTGCACGACGGTGGGGTATTGGAGGGCTGATCGATGATGGAATCAAACGATTCTATGCAGGGGGGGTTGGGCGTATCGCTGGGATTCAGGATCGGTGCAACTGGAATCGACTCAAACGCGACAAGGACCCCCCTCATCCCCTCCCCCCTTGTCTGGACTTTGAGCATGTTTCATAATGGTGATCTAATGGTTGATTCTAGAAGATGTGGACAGCTTGATAGGTGGTCTCGTGACCATGGTTGAGGCCATTTCCTCGGGCAAGAGATATGTCGACAAACTCAATTACCCCGAGAAATAAATATATCTTCCAAGCTCGTATTAGTAGACTACTTGTTCTCGATAGTCGGGGGTGGCGAACTTCTCTTTGAATAATTCTACGATCTTCCCCTCAAACCCTGATGTACACAATACAGGATACATGCAGAGGTGGCAGGTAAGGGGGCAAAACGACCACTTACATATGATATGCCCGGTGGATGATCTGTACGGATGTGCCGTGTAGATGCA